GGATGGGTAAGCAGCTGTGACAGCCTGCATTAGGAAATGTTTATACAGAAGCCAAATGTCCCAATGCATTTCGGGTTTTATTTCTTTATTTCCAGTTTTATTTTTTTCATGTGTTTTGAGACTCCTTTTGCAGATCTCATAATTATTACCGCTCTATTTTTGTGACAAATTGAAAACAAAACAGGCAGCCAATAACATGGTAATGCTTCACCATTTTTGTTTTATTCATTGCCTATTGAGGATAACATTTCTATGCTCCTTGTTTAACCAAAAAAACCCCTGCTGTTACTATTTAGAGACAGGATGCTACTTTCTTTTTTCCAGCCAGCTACATCTTACAAACGAGTTCTGCTGATACAGTCCATGCTGTATGTTGTGGGGAAGAAATTATCCAGCTCAGCTTCACCTTCTCCCTGGTGTCTCCAGAGGGTAGAGTGGGACCTGCTGGCCAAATGCAGCTTAGGATGGATCAGAGTGCAGGGGTGAAACTGAAGTAGCAGGTGGGAAGAAACTCTTGTGGACTTCTTTCCTAGATCATTGTTAAGTGGGCTTAGTTTTAGAATAGAGGATCTTAAGGGATAGATATCTCAGAAGGAAACTGATACTGCTAAGGTTAAACAGAAGTATTCTATTATGTTTCTGGCTCCTTGAACTTTTCTTCTGTCTTTGGGATTCATAGCTAACCATAGTCTGCTGGACATATTTTTTTTCTGCTGTCTAGCATGTTCACATCACTTTGTAAAGGTTTTTTCACAAATGTAATTATTGCAACCTGCCAAGATGCTGTGACATGGAGAGCTATGACTTCATCTTCCTCTCTCAGCAATTCAGAAGGGACATTTTTACACTATACAGTATCAAGAAATGTTTACCCATATCAAGGTTTACATATGCCAAGTCCAGCCTTTAAGACTTGCTGTCATGTTTCTTGTCCCAAGTCCCCAGTGAGATGATGCTAAGTGATGTGGTGTTGTCATTACTGGGATTGAATATCCTCTTACCCCCTGTTCCTGTGCTAAAGAGAGCATCTGAAGAATTAGGTTCACATCTCTCTCATCTCAGTGTGTTCCCGCACAGCAGGGTGTGACTTTAGATGTGTATGTCAGCCAACATCAGTCAAGAGAGGTGAGGAATAAAAAATAGAGGAAGAACTAGCAGAACCCAGGCACAGCTGAGTCTTTTCATCTCACTGACTCCAAAGAGCATAGAGAAGTTGAGCCTGGACAGTAACACATAAAATAAACTATTCTGCAGAAAATCCAAGACAAAGGTCCTTAAATATAAGCTATTTACAGAAGAATGATCAAATGTAACGCAAAACCATACATCTTATTACCAAATGTGCCTATCACAATATGTGAGTCTATATCACATTGATTGAACCAAAACCAAAAGGCTGTAACAGGGAAAAATGGATTAAAAAGGTGTTAATTGACATAAATGCTTGGTTATATTTTTATATTATTTTAGCAGGAGTCTTGTGCTGTCAGTATGTTCTAGAGCAGAATGGAGTCTTGTATTATTTTCAAACATAGAATCTTTATTCTGTGTACTCATTGTAATGGAAACTGTAAAACAGATTACAAAGTTAAACAGGCAATATTCTGCAGAAGAAGAAAATATTTTTGGGTAATTGTATGCATGCTAATTGTAAGGATGTAATGGGTTCCTTAAATCTGTGACATCCTTAATCTGCGACTGGATGTCACCAGAAGAGATGAACTTGGATTGTTGGGTGCATAGGATCCATCCTGAAAGATGTTCGCGAGAGATGATCTACCTTTCCAAAGTGCCCGCCCCTTCTCACTGACTCTGAAGGAAGCACAGGAGCAATGCTTACATTGCTTGAAATTAATCTCTGTCTAGACAGTATTTTATTGCCCCTTCTCTTAAAAGCAATGTAATTACACACATTTATGAAGTCCATGTCTCTGGCCAGCTTTGGCTGATTTAAGAGGTTAAGATCAACTGGCAGCGTACTGAGGTTATGCAGTACCCTGTATTTGAGAGGGGACAAATCTTTCCTAACCCTTATGTTGATCACTTTGTACCAGCAACATTAAACCTAATTATTTGGTCTCTGAAGCATACCAGCCCGGTCTGTCTTGCACACAGTGTGTGAAGATCCTTCCGGTGAATACAGGTACTTCCATGATGTTTTTTTCAAAACTATCTTCATTTGCATTGCTACTCATCATACTGGGGGCAGTGTAAACAAGAGGAACCAACAACCTCTCAGCACCATGTTCATAATCTTAGATGACTTAATTAACTTTGTTCTAAACCCATGTAAGAGATTTAGGGAAGAAAATAAGTAGAAAATTAACATATTGCTCTACTGGTACATTTGAAATACATCAGCCTGATATGGTACTTAGAATTTAATGTACATCATCATAACTGTTTACCAGTTTATTTATATATGCTGCCATAGCTCCAGTTTATTTATATATACTACCATACTTTCAGTGTCTATGGGAGCACAAGGCAGGGAAGGAGCTACTGGTGGGATGAAGGAGCTGTGAATGAAGAACTGAAGTTGAACCTGGGGGAAAAAAGGAGTGGGTGAGGGAAGGTGTTTTAGCTTTTTTTGTCTTTGTTCCTCACCATCCAACTCTTTTAATTGGCAATAAATTAAATTCATTGTCCTCAAGTGAAATCTGTTTTGCCTGCGATGGTACTCGGTAAGCGATCTTCCTGTCTTTATCTCAACCCATGAGCTTTTTCATCTTGTTTTCTCCCCCTGCCTCGTTGAGAAGGGAGAATGAGAGAGTGTCTGGGTGGGCATCTGGCAGCCAGTCATGGTCAGCTCACCAGAATCTGTTAAAGTTTTGGACCATTTGGATACTTTTAGTGAGAGAGTACAAGGTAGCACAAGAAATATGCAGATGAGTTTCTTCTGTCTTTATCTCATTCCCCAAAGCTTTCTTCCCTTCATTTTCTATTCAATTCATAGAATCATATAATCATAAAATAGAATGAGTCTGAGTTGAAAAGAACCTTTAAAGATCGTTTGGCTCTACCCTCCCTGCCATGGGCCAGGACCCCTTCCCCCAGCCCAGGGTGCTCCCAGCCCCGTCCAACCTGGCCTTGAACCCTTCCAGGGAGGGGGCAGCCACAGCTGCTCTGGGCACCCTGGGCCAGCGCCTCACCCCCAGCACAGGGAACAATTTCTTCCTTAGATCTAATCTAAATCTACCCTCTTTCAGTTTAAAGCCATTATCCCTTGTCCTACCACTGCAGGCTCTGGTAAAAACTTTTTGTCCATCTTTCCTATAAGCCCCCTTTCAGTATTGAAATGCTGCAATAGGGCCTCCCCAGAGCTGCCTTCTTCAGGCTGAACAACCCCAACTCTTTCAGCCTCTGTCCATAGGAGAGGTGTTCCAGCCCTCTGAACATTTTCATGGTCCTCACTTTTGGTACCACAGAGTGTTGCCTTTTGCCAACTGAAGGAGAAACATGAGCTGACGGAACTCAGCTCCTTCTGGAGTCCATCAATGCCCCTTCTAGCTAACCAAACAGATAACAACAGAGATATTTTGCCCAGTGAAGAGCACTTAGAGTTCATCTTTCAGGTTGAATATGTAAACTCTGGTATTGTCATTTTGGGGGTAAAAAAAGGAACAATGATAAATGAACCAAAAAACTCCATAATACATGTATCTAGTTTAGTAAGTATTCAATTCTTTTTTCTCTGGGAATAAGGAGAGAACACAGAAGCAGTTTAAAAGTTTTGCTTTACAATATTTTGTGAAAGAGATCTATAATAACTCAATTTTGTGGTGTTAAAGTGAAATTCTTAATACTGTGTTCTGTTTCATGAATTAATTTAATTAGTTATTGTTTGCTCAAGAGCTGGAACTATGCCAGGAGCCTGAATCGAGACTCAACCAACATATGTGTGCACCATATAAAGAAACTGGGTAGAGCTCAGAAACAGATGCTGTGAGCAGAGCTGAACTGAATGTGAATGTTGGGAGCACCTGCTCATAGTGGGTGTTAGAAACAGGGACCCAAACTTGCACCCGGATGCTATAGACAGAGCAGTGGACTTAATCGTCATTTCTAATTAGTACCCTGTGAGCCCTTGATTAGAAACCCAGCACAGATGGGAGCATTGCAGGTGCTTTGAATTCTATTTCTGGGAACTGTGGAGCATGTTCCAATTTCCAGGGTCCACATTTCTTTATGATGAAGGGTATGAACATACAAGGTATAAAAAATATCTCAGAGAGTGAATTTAGGCATGGCATAGACAGAAATTTCCCCTTCATCTTGTTGGAGGTGATAGAAGACAAAATCCGGGCTTCCAAAGCCTCAAGGGGGAGGAAGCCAAAAGGAGCTGTGGTGTATCAGGACTGGTGTATAATCCTTTATATTTGAACTTACACATACACAGCTGCCTCTGAAAAACACAGTTTTTCTTTGCAGGTCTCCAGCCATAGTTTTTGTTTTCTTGGCATCCATGGAGCTGGCTAAAATATGTCAAAGGGGATAGAGTGTCAGCACAAGTATTGCTGTGATTTGTATAAGGGAAGGAGAGAAACCCATTAATATACCCTAATGGAGCTGGAATTTTATTACTTATGGGTTGTCTGTAGAGTGGTGTTTTAAATGCATCAATAGCCACTCTTGGTGTAATAAAGACATTATTATAACAATATGAAAGTGCTTAGACCCTTGATGTGGGGTCCCATCCTCACCTAGGTACTTATGCCTATTTCCAGTTGTAAATCCATGTGGCTTAAAAACAGCAGCAACCACTCTTCTATCCAGGACAGTTTTAATTGTGTGACTTGTCAAGTCAGAGATCTGTGCTACACTAAGAATCTTTGCTGGGAGCAAAGCTGTGATTGAAACAGCTTCTAAAGTGTTTGAAAATGCTCTGTCCTGGGGATGTACCTGAGGGTGTTGTTGATTTTAACTTTGGTTTATTTAGCATGATTCTTGACATTAGTGTAATGTTGTCTGTTTTTTTTTTTTTGTTTGTTTTCTCATAGGTTGGCTGGATTAACTGGCTCTCATTCAGAGGGAACTTGACAGATCTGTTTTGCTTTCATTGAACCTCTCTACTGCATGCCATAAGGATTTCCTAGGTCCAGAGGCTGCAAAAAATGCAACTGAGCAGCCCAAAAATGTGACTGACAAGAGACTCCAATCTTACTGATGAGGAATTTTCTACTTATCAGTTTATAATTTAAATGTATAACTGAAGCATGCATAATAGTTAACCTGATAGGGGAAAAAAAAAACTTTTGCATTAATTAGGACTGCCAAAAAAGCAGTCACCTGAAGCTTCAAAATGAGTGCTCCATTAATCCCAAACAAGTCATGTTATACGCAGCTTCAGGACAACCGCAGCGAAATAAAAAATAATAACGAAAGCATAGTGAGCGTGGGGGACACCAATGCCAACCAAATTGTGACAAAAGCTAGAATGACTGAAGTGGATGTTAAGAAACAGGATTTGACAGATGAGAGTGGGAATATGCACTCTGGAGGATCAGAGAAAATTACTCATCTCAATACAGAGCAGAATAAACTTCTGACCTTCAAAGACTCTCGGACCTGTCACACAGGTGTACAGGAAAGCAAGCTGTCCTCCACCACAATCAGGGAAATGGGGAAAGATTATAGGACCAGCGAAGCTAAGGATATATCAAGGCATATCAGGATTAGCCGAGGACAAAGTCTGTCCAATTTAAAAAGTAGCACAAATGATGCCACCCTGGAGGTTATTCCCAAAGGTGATGTTGACTTCACTCAGAACTTTTCTAAGGGTAAAATGTCCAGGACTGTGGAGGTGGAGAAAATAAAAAGGCTTTCATTGGGAAGACCAAGTAAATTCTCTCCTCAATCTGAAACATTTACAAAAGACTGCGTTGGCCGTGTGTCATGTAAACGTCTGCTTTCTGCATCATTGGACTCCATTGACAGGTCACACCATTTGATAGGAAATACAGAGAAATCACAAAAAACATCCACAGATCATTTTCTTGGGATGGTGTTTCATCCAGTTGACAATACCTCAGAGGAAAATACTGTATTTTATTCCAAACCATCTACCTCAGGGAACAAGAAAATAAGTAAACCAGAAAATGTACCAAATGTTAACATCGAAAGCACACTGCATGCTTCTCATTCTCAACATTCAGCTGTTAAGCCCCATGAGATTATTAGTAAATCAGAAGCACAATTAGGTCAGGGTGATAAAAATAAAAAACTGGACCTTAAGGCTGCTCCACCTCTACAATCTAAAAATACATGTCAACAAAAGATTGAGAGAATTATGCTAGTAGAGTCCCTGGGATGTCAAAAAGATGAAAATACAGCAATACTGGAGCAGAAAGACTCTGGGTCTGATGCATCAAAGTTTCAAACATCCCATTTTCGAGACACCTGTAATAAAGTAGAGGATCCATTGTCAAGCCAGCCAGTAACCTATCCTGATGACAAATTGCTAAGTGACCACATCACCATCGGTGGGGAAGGGAGACGAAGCAGTGACAGTGACAACAGGGCAGCTAGCCAGGTGGGTGAGGAATATTTCACTGACAAAGTAGTGAAAACAATATTCCCACCCACCTGCAGTAGTAAATCCAGTGGCAAAGTGACACCCAGAAAAAGTGAAAATTTACATGAAGTTGATGCAGGTATTGCTGAAACAGTTGGTGAACAGGTATATCTTATACATAATATTAATCTACCTGACAGCAAACCCTTGAAAGTTAACGAGAATAGGCTGACGCTAGTCATAGAGAGCACTGAGGATGATGCTGTGCCTGCTTCTGATCTCTCAGATCAGCACAGAGCGTGCAGTGCAGAGATAGTGTCAAACCAAAAACCTGACAACCACAACAGTGATGTGGAGACCTTGAGCTTTTCGGTTCCAAGTAAAAAGACAGCTAATGCACAGAAACATCCTCCAGAGGAAGCACCAGAGAGCTGTAACGTTTCAGCAAAGGCCGATGCCTTTTTATGTGTCCCAACTCCCGTGCGCCCGGTGGCAACGCTGGATGTTAATAGTCAGCCCACGCTACCAAACAGTAATTTGAAGGACCTTTATGCACTTCATGTTGACAAACTGTCACCCTCTTCAGTCCTACCTCCCATTGACAGTACGCAGTTGTTGAACATATCCCCTAAAGTGCCTATCAAGACTGCCTGCAGCAGTGCCATCCCAAAACCTATCCTGGTCCACCCCAAGGGCTCCCTCCCAGATAAGGCGGGTGTAGACAGTGACTGCAGTGAAAAGCTGGAAGAAAGCATTGAGATGAAACCTGCCATACCCAGGCCCAAACCCGTGAGACCTAAAATCATCACATACATTAGGAGGAACCCTCGTTCGATAGAGCAGCTCGACCCTTCATTTGTGCCGGCAGGGCTGCCGTTCGGTAGCCCTGCGTGTGGCATGCCCATCTCTGCGGAGCAGAAAGCATCCAATGGAGGGGAGGCAAAGCCCGCCAGCATCCTATACGACAAATTTAAACCTGACCTCCAGAAGCCAAGACTCTTCAGTTCTGGACTCGTGGTGTCAGGAATTAGGCCCCCGGGCCATCACTTCGGTCCAATGAGCGAGAAGTTTCTGCAGGAGGTAAGGAGGCAGCTTTGACAACCTCTTTTGTATGCTAGGTGGTGATCATTTTCTTACTTGTTGCTTCCAGAAGTTAGTTCTCAAACCTCAATTAAGAAATAAATCCTAAGTCAAGGTAATGTGTTGTCATTAGAAATAAACTTACTTAACCATTTCTGGCACTGACCCTGTCGCGATGTTTGATCTGTGACTGGAATTTGTCACTGTGTTCCTCCAATGTTTTCCAGCTAACTGGTAACCTTCTAGTAGTATAAATAGGGATGTTTATAAAGGAAAGACATACTGCTTGAATCTATTCATAAATGGAATTTCTTTTTTTTTTTTTTTTCCCCCCAGAGAATCGCTTTGGGAAAGGAATGTTATTTGCCCACAGAGACTTTTCCTCCTTAATGAGAAAGTTGGCAGGTTTTAGCAGAGAGAGCACCAGAGGTCTCAGATAATTTCCTTCTGTTTAGCTATACTGAAACCCAGAGCTCTTGTTAGATTATATATATCATACAGGAAAAGGATTTACTTATGACTCATTTTAGTGATGTGTGTTATATTGACCTGCACCTCAAATAAGAAGTCTTCTTTCCCCAGAAAGACTTCCTAGGCAGCTCAAAAGTGATGGAAGTTCCTCTGGCCAATTCTGGCTCCTGATATCTCATTGTGTTTCCACCTTGATAAGCTGGGCAGGAGTCTTATTTCCCTGAAATCACTGCTGGGAGGTGAGCGGTGGAAGAAGGTTGGCCTTACTTGGAGGGTGGAGAAAAGACAGGGAAGAGGGAGCTACATTCAGGTCTGTGATGTACCCTTGCACCCACTGCTTAGGACCTGTGACAGCTCAACAGCCAAGCTTTTTATACAAATACTAAAGATAACAAAAGTGTTTTTAAACAATCACCTTGTAAGGTGAGGGAAAATTACTAGATTATTACCATTTAATGTATGGTAATGGAAACTAAAGCCAAAATAACCCAGCCTCTGCAGGTGTTCGGCTGTTTATAGGGTGACATGACCCTCTGAAGACCGTAGGTGTCTATGGCCCATATAGTTCAGGTTCAGGTGATCAGACAGGATCAGCAGACACGTCTAGGAGCAAAGGACCAATTTCTGCGCACCACTGTGGGCTGTTCTGAACATGAGAAAGACTCAGGTTGTGGCAAGTCTGCAGCAGGATTTACTCTAGACTAGGGTTAGAAGGATGACACATGGGATGGAGAAGATCCAAAGCATCTTCACCCACTCCTCCAATAAATATAACTTTGGATGATTATTTTAAAGAGGGAAGATTTGAACCTGAAGAAACTACTTCTTCAGAGAAACTGGATTGCTTGGAGGAGAGGCTGGGAAGGAAATGTCAAGCAAACTGCTGTTTGTTATGAGTTTGCATTAGCCCAGGAGTCAGGACCTGACAGCAGGGGGTGGTATTTACTCTCTTGGGCTGCCACCCTAAAAGCAATTACTTTACTCTCCTAATAGAGTAATGCAGAGAGGGCTGATTTGGCTCTGGTATGGATCAAGAGGAAGGGAAATGAATGATCTGTGGAAGTGGACAGAGGCTTAGAAGAGCAGCTGTGCACAGTACGGGTTCATGGCAGATGACTGATATGAAATCCGAAGGAAGCCAATTAGGATGGATTGAGATAGATCAAAATCACCCTGGTGAAGGGAGAGTGTTGAAGATTCAGATTTTGGAGACAAGGAGATGCTGGGGCAGGATAGCTACTGTCTTTTTAAGAGAAAAAATCCCAGATTGCCCTATTTCACCCATCCAGTTTGGGTTTTGGAGAGCTTTGATTAGCATTTTATAGCTCTTTACATAGCTATGATAGGGAGTGTTAATAGCTGCTATCAATCAGACCTGTAATCTCTAAGCACCCTTCAGCTAGCTAAATGGTAGGAACAATGAAATACCCCTCTGGGTGCCATGAGCTAGCAAAAAATAGAAAAGTGCTGTCTCGGAAAGGAGACTCCAAGGCAAGGCCTGACAAGCTCTATGAGGAAGACTCAAGGGCTACCTCTGTGCAGTGGGGACCCTTCAGGGCTCCTTGAACTGGCTGTGCTAAAGCCCATGTAGGGCAGCTTAGACAAAAATCCCAGCTCAGGCATGAAGTTGTACTTAGAGACTGGGTCCATAACAAAATTAAGTTAAGGTTGAATGGGCAGCCTTGCCTGTGGCACTGGCAGCTCCTTGAATGCTTTTCTTTGGAACCTCAGCATGGTGTGGAGGTAGATCTTTCATGCCTGTCTTCACCCATAAAAAAAGGTAGAAAGCCCCTCAAAGTGAAATGCTTAAAAAACCCCAGTCAATGTTCAGGGCAGGTCGCCGCTGTCCACGTGCTTCATCACAATGTGAGCTCCCCATCTCAATATGGACCTCACGTCCTTCTCAACAGCCTCTTCTAGTCAGAACCAGTGGGAATTTGTGGCCACTTTGTGTTCCCAGTTACCTCTGTGTGAGTAACAATGCCACCTGTGGTACCCAAAGGCTGTATTGAACTGAACAGTGGGAGGGCATGGCCACCAATATTCACGCGAGGTTGTCCATACTGTAGGACCGGGAGCATTCTCCCCAGCTCAGTTCCCACCTCTGCCAGCATGTGCTCACCCAGAGGCTGTTCCCAGGGACCAGCCTGGATGAGACCAGCCTGGACTGCAGGGTGAGAGTTTACCTGTATGGATACGGTCCGTGCCTTGTCAGAGAGTGGTCCTTGGCTCACTTTATTCACTGCTTTATGGCTGCCAAGAGCCTGGGTTCTGGTGGGAGTCTGTAAGGAGGTTTGCTGATCACCAGCTCTCCTGCCTTCCTCCCCAAAGCTGCGGCTGCCCCGTTCAACCACCTCCTTGGGTCTGTCCCCCAGCACAGACATCTTTCTGCACCAGGAAGCATGGCCTGTTGAAATGAAAGGCCTATAGGAGAAAAAGGGGTAGAGAGAGTTGTTTTATACATAGTGAAACTAGCATTTTTCCCCCCTAATCTCATTATCTTAACTGCCTGAACCAATGTTGCCAACTCTTTTCCCAAATAGCTGCCTGAAGCAGGCACTTGACAAGAAAATTCTTGCTTGAGGCATTAATGTTTGACTGTTATAAACAAAGTATCATGAAGGAAAGTGTTGGGCATCCTTACCTGCTGGCAGCGGTGCCATCTCTGCTCAGGATTACCCAGCCTGTTGAAATTCATGTATGCTTCAAGTATTTGCTACAGATTTTTCAGTTGTTTCTAGCAAATTGATTAAATGGGGTGAGTGGGTAATGATTAGCCAGCCACACACAATAAAACCCTGAGCTGAAATTCTTTTTAGTTGACAGGCTACACCAGATCTTTTCTTTAAGAGTCCCTTGTACAAAAATCTAGTACAGGATGCTAACAGGTCTCATATTAATCCATATCTTTCTGAAGAGCTTTAAGATGGCCTTATAATCAATAATTGCATACAATTCTATTGAGACAGGTTCAATTTTACACTTCATGAATTCACAGTTGAATAGAAAAAAAATAATGTGTCTTCATAGCAAGTTTATGTCCTCCAAAACTGGGCTCTTCCAAAGAAAACATCCATTCCTTGAGAGATATTTAGGTAAATTACAGTTAGACTCAATGATCTTAAGGGTCATTTCCAACCTAAATGATTCTATTCTAAATACTTCTCACTTCTCTCGTCTTGAGAAGATGCTTTATGCCTGCGGTTGATTGGTCTTGTGTGCATGTTTGTTGTCCTTCAGTATTACTCCTAGCATGCTGTCAATAAAGAAGAAAAATGAGGTGTCTTAAGGTTTGGCTAAGTTGGCCTAGTTTATAAAAAATGCATGGTTTCTATTTTTAAAGATTTTCTCTATTTCTTATACTGAAACACCTGGCATTAGTATGTTCACTGCCAGTTAAATATGAAATTATAGGAAATGTATAATGGAATCTGTTTGAAATAAATTCATCAGGGAGAGAAAATATTGTCTAGGTAAACAATTCAGAAGTTGAAAATAAGAAGCTAAACATCTCCTGTAGTCCAAGCTTAGAGAATCTATACAGTAAAAAACTGCATCCTAACTTGTAGAAATAGGTCATTGGAGTATAATAAAAAAGGAGATGGGAAGATCTAATGGCAAGATAGGACTGCAAACTAAGGAAAAAATATAGAGCAAAAATGTAATGCTCAGTGTTTGTTGCATCTGCCCTCCTAGTTCCTGTGCAAAGGCCTCAAAGATTCTATATTTAATAGTTTTAGGCCAGTTTTGTTTCATTTAGCATATTAAAGATTTGCTAAATTAGGATTAAAGCTCTAGAAGCAGCCAGGATCAAAGATTTTATAGCCAATATTGAAGTGCATATTCTAAATGCTTATAATTGCTAAATAGAAATTGATTTAGCATATTATATGCATCATAACTTACAGCAGAGTTAACTAATTGGCAGTTACATTTCTTCCTAGGTAGCCTATGGCACTTTTTGATTAATTTTTAAACAAATTTAGTTCAGATATCCTATTTCCCAAACTGCCTTTTTCTTTTTTTTTTTTTTTTTTCCTTTTTTTATTCTGTGGCCTAAATGGGATGCACTGAAAAAATATTCATGGGTCCTTTCTACATTGTGATGATTTTGCATTGTATAAGAAAAAGGTAAAGAAGTTGGACTCCACCCAGAAGAGAAGATGATTCTTTGCAAATGAGAGAGATGAAAACTCCTGATTGCTCTGCGCCCTTGTCCCAAGTCATGAAGCCGCGCAGTGAGGTGGGAGTCAGAACCCAGCTTGAGTGTAGAAAGATGTAAGGGCTGAAATGAGGAACCAGGTCATTCCCTGACTGCAAGTTCCCCAGTAACAACCAGGTTGCTGGAAATACTTCCAGTTTGGGATTTACTGTGCTGTCCTCAGAGTATGTGCCCAATAAAATACTGAGAGACTTGTCACTGATTTTAGCAAAGCAGCATCTATTTGTGATTAACAGTAAATGTTTCACATCTGCAAATTTGTCTTTTTTTCTCTAATTCAAATAGGCAGCTAGGTTTTATAGCTCTGGTTTGGAATATTCAACATACAGAATCATGCCCACCTCCACAAACAGGTGTTTTTTCAGGAACTTTAGGGACACAGATTACAATGAACATTTTGCAGTAAGAGAATGTAGAGGTTTTTCTTCTCACACAAACAATTTGACAATATCATTTCTCCGATAAAGTGAACTTAAAATACCTTCAGTTTTATTTTTAACTAAGTTAAAACTGACTTGCCCCCAAATTATATCTTGGTAAAAATATTTGAAATAAGTTATAATAAAAATTCCACTTACTCTCTTGGTGTATCTACCTCTGTAAATAATATCACCTTTCAGGACCTACCAGTAACTTCTTTTTCATGAATTCAAGAACTTTTATTTGTCTATTTTCTTTTGGGGAATAGATCAAATCTTTATTTTGCTTTAGTTATGTGTTGAGACTGTAATGTGCATATTTTTGGAGAGTGGTTCCTATGGTAAGACCATCACTTTTTGAAAGTGATGATCAGTCTGTAGTCGTCTAAATCCCAGATTCACAAGAAGGGAAAATCAGCCTTTATAAGGAATTTAGAGCTCCACGTTTTCTGTATTTGTTGATTTACTGCATAATATCTGTGTTAATGACTTTTCTGTAGGTTGGGGAAAGGCCTGCGAAAGATGAATTTTGCCCCCCACCATATACTCACTACGAGGTCCCACCAAGTTTTTATCGATCTGCTATGATACTCAAGCCACAGTTAGGACTGGGTGCAGTGTCCAGGTTACCATCTGCAAAAAGCAGGATTCTCATTGCAAGTCAAAGATCCTCAGGTAGCTGTCTCCATCAGCAAGGAGAAATAACGAGTGCTCCCAGCCTCTATCATCCTGATGCTTCAGGTAAAGTATGAACTTTCTTTCCTTTCCTTTAACTGCAGTCACCATTAAGCTATTTTTTTTTTTTTTTTTAGACAGAAATATCACAAAACGAGCAGCATCTTGACCTGATGCTACAAAGCTCCAACAGCACTCTTTGAGGTGTGTCTTTTTATCCTGCAGCAAGGCTTACTAAGGAGCCTGGGACTTGCGCAAAGGTTGTTTAGCAGGTCATTGCCAAAGGAGAATCAATTACAGTAATAATTCTCACTGTGCTCTTTTTGATCTTTCTCCTCCTTGTAAATGCCTGAAAAATCTTTGCTTTTGTCCTCAGGAAGATAATGGGGACATTTTCTTCCATCATGAAGACCCTGTCATTCATTCTGAATATGATGTTCCCCACCATGTTGTGCTCTGAAAGCCGGGGAAGTGTTCAGATGTGCCAGCAGAGATCTTGACTCTCTGAAGCCCTGGTATCCACCTCTTTGGAGACAACATTTCTAATACCTTTTTCCTCTCAGCTACTGGCCAGCTCAGCATGACCCTGGGCAGAATTATATGGGAGGGAAAAGCAAGAAAACACTCGGAAGGAGAAGCGTACGATGCCACAAGACAGAGATAATAATTACTTCTACAGGACATTCCTTGGTAGCCTGGAAAAGCTTGGAGGTTTTAACGATGTACATTTAAACAGCAGCAAGTTCAGAGACAACTGAAAATCAGTCATTGCCAAAGTGAAACATAGCAGCTCTTTAACAGCCTACAAATCTGCAGAAATTTTTAAAGCTAGTCATAAGGGATAAAGTTAAGTAATGACTTGGGGTCATATGGTCCCTCCTCTTGCTGTAGGATGGGACTCCTTCTGATAGATGTTTATTTAACCTGTTAATGAAAAACTATTTATAAAAACCTTCAATATGAGATCTTGCAGCCTCTGAAAGCAGGCTGCTCCAATGCATTACCTACTTTCAAGTTGAAAGTTTTCCCTAATGTTTTTCCTAATCCTCTTTGTTGCTATTTATTTCCTTTTTTATCTGGAGTGGATGTAGGGTCTTCTTCTCTTTGCAAGTATTTGAAAACTATTGCTCTTCCCAGTGTCAATTTCTCCATATTAAGCTGCAGAAGAAATTTAGAGAAAATTAGAATGGAAATGGGCCACAGTGTCTTGACTTACCCTGAGAGGACGGTATCAGTCAGTAATACAGGTTGCCAGGACCTGGGGTTTATCAGAAAATCAAGGTTCTCTGTAACAGTGCCTCTTGCCACTATCCTTTACTATCTGACCCTGCCTCTGGAGTTTATCTACATGGATGCCATTAGCAGAAGCTGACCAAGCTCATGTGACTTCTGAGGCACTCCGAGTTTGCACGCTGGGTAGAAAGTACCAGTTCAGCCCTGTGTGTTGAGTTCAGTCAGCACTGAGCACGGGAATAGTAGAGAGCAACTGGATCATATTTACTATTTAAATGAAACTGCAGCAAGCAGTTGCATTACAGGAACCAGTTTGGGAGATGGATGTGAGAAGAATATACAAATAGGATGTATTAACAAATTCGCTATCTTTTCTGATCCTTGGAAATGAAAGTTGCCTTGATTTTTATTCAACCATCATCCATCCATCACCCATATTATCCTCCATCATTGATGATTGCAGACATGACTTTTCCTTGGCTATTTTTAATCGATTTTGGAACTTGTCTTATAAGTATTAATTTACTGTCTTCCTGTATTATGTGACATTCTAAAATCTAAACAGTATCAGCCTACCAGTCATATTTATTGTCTGCAATACTGCCTTTAAAAATGCTAGTGCATGAAAAGTATACATGAGGAAATTACACTAGCTCTTAGCGCGATTCCTATTCCACTAAAGTTGTATTTCCTAAAGTTTTCTTATTTCTCACAAGTTGGGGTTTTTTGATCTTATCATTGGTCATTTCTTGGACCTTGTCTGCTATGGAGGTCAAATTTAATTCGTAGCTCTCCATAATTTCCTCCCTACAACTGTTATTTTGTTTGTTTCTCTCTAGTTTATTGATACCTTGCTGTTCCAAAGATAACTCGTGGTAGTCCAGTAATCTGTCTGCCACCTCTTTCAGGATCCCAAAGTGTGTCTCATCTGGTCTTTGGGCTCTGACTGTTTTTATTGATTTTAAATTACTCAAGACTTGTTCTGAAAAGGTTGCTAATGTCTCTAGTTTTTCACTGTCCACCCCAGGACACATTGTTTTCATTTCTGGCATCTCACCTTCCATTTTCCTTGTGAGATGAAGAAGGTGTTTAATTTTTCTGCAATGTCTTATTCAGTTGCAAAATACTTCTTATTGCTCTCTGTTGATTCAGTGCCTTCCCTTATTGATCTTTCATGTCTTTCTGGTATCTTATATTAGTTACTTTACATTCTTTTATTTTTGGTATTTTATTTCCCCATTATCCATTCAGCTTATAAACAGGTTTTCCTTGTCCAAAGCTTTTTTCCTTGTGTACCTCAAATGACTGAATCTTCCTTTCAGCAAAGTATAACTTCATAGGTGAGCAGATCAGTCGTTCTGTATGGTTTCCTTTTAAGAACAGCATAGGAGTGGAGGGGCAGCAGAGAACTGGTTCCTGTGGCGGTGTCCGCGCCAGTGCACAAACATAGACCAGAGATGGGTCACTGGTTGCTGTGGAGGGGCTGGATGGGACAGCAGCCTGTGGCATGCCAGAACTGGTGAGGGTCTGACTGGAGAGGCTCAGAGTAGGGCCAGGCACCATCTATCCAATTGTTTTAAGGTACCCAACAGGATTTTCAACCACTTTTCTTTGATTTGTCAGTTAGTTGTGGTATTAAACTTTAATCTGCATTATTGGTTTTGGTGCAATATTTGAGAAACAGGGTATAATGCAGCTTCGAGAGAGTTGTATTTAAAAATATAAGCAAACAAAATGCATGAACAAATGGTCAGCATACTGGAAGCGGAGACGATAGGACCCTTGTTCATGAGTGTTGTAGGGTGTAAAGGCTTGGCTGACAGCAGCAAAAACAGCTGGAGGAGTAGGAGGTATTTTTCTCTCAAGAATACCAGTCCTGCCTTAAAGACTGCTAATCAGCATCTTTTGCAGCTTGATCCTGAGATTTTAATCCAGTTTCTAATCCTAGTGATTTCAGTCCTGCCCTTGGGTAATGGAAGCAGAAGGATCTAGCCAGTTGCCATCCCATGACAAAGTGTGAGGTACCACGGAGGCTTCTAAACTGAAATCACCGTGGCACAGTATCAAGGACAGAAGCAGTGCCTCATAGTAAGGATTTTATTCCCCTTTGCCATGCCATTCATAATGCAGCAATCTGTTTAAGCAACACACTGATAAGCTGAGTGGTTTGACCCATGTATAATACTCACACTCATAAAACTGACTCTGAAGTAACTGGTAATTAAATCACTGAACTGTTGTGGTGGACTCCAAGTACTACAAGTACATTAAGGGGTTTGATAGTTTTACGACATGCCAAATAGGAAGTGAAATAATAATGAATGATCCCACAAGTGTGATCTCCAGGCGTGATGCCTGAAATGCGACTGGAGCAGTGATGGAGCAGTCCTTCATCCGTAGGACATGTGTGATGGCATTGGCTGCGAGTTCCTTATTAAGCAGTGCCGCTCCTTAGGTGGTGCTTTGCCTCGGACGGGTCAGGCAAGCAGCCTGACTGTAAGAAAAAGCATTCTGCACTGCGGGTAAACCAGGAAATCATTGAATCATGATGTAAAGGTGCAAGAGTGTCTCTGAAAGCTTAATATTTGTTTATTTTATGTAAATTGACTCTGCTCTTTCTGTGGGAAACTTGTAATTCAAAACAAGAATTGAAGGATATTGTGTCTATACCATATAAATTATTAATATGTTTTCCATGATGGTAAAGAATTCTTGGAGAAAGCGTGTTAGGATTTGCATTAGTAAGCTGATTATTTTGATGGGATTAATGTCTGATTTTGAAAAGTATAACAGAGATCTCATCATTAAAACTTCACTAAATTCTACTCATTAATTTTACTTAATTCTATGTTTTTCAGTAGTATCTATGGTATTTTTTTCTCAAAGAGTGAGTTAATAAATGTTTCCTTATCACCTCTCTGTGTATTAAATTTGCCAGTCCTGAGGGTCTAGAAGTTCCTCTCATTTCTAAGCAAGTCAGCTCTTGTTAAAGATATAATTTATATATAAATGTCGTGGTTTGGGCCTGGCTGGCAGCCAACCACAATGCAGCAGCTCTCTCTCCCTTCCCCTCCGGCAATGAGAAGGGACAGAGAGCCAGGCTTGGGGTTCAAGATAGGACTGGGATGGGGAAAAATCCCCCTTTTATGATCAGGAGCAAAAGGCAGACTCGTTAGGGGAAGAAAAAAAGAACATACATTTATTACAGACACTAACAACACATAACAGAGTAGGCCAGTGAGAAGCATTGCCACATCTTGAGAACACCTTCCCCCCACCCCTCCCTTCTTCCCGGGCTCAGCTCTGCTCCCGATATCTCTACCTCCTCCCCCAGCGGCACAGGGGCAGGGAATGGGGGGTGCAGTCAGCGCTGCTGCTTTCTTCATCTTCGGTGAGGGGAGTGTCCGGAACTTGTTCCTCCTGCTCCATCATGGTCCCCCTCTCACAGGAGACAGTCCTCCACAAACTTTCTCTGACATGAATTCCTCCCATGGGCTGCAGCGTTCCCCACACTGCTCCGTCGTGGGTCACTAACTTCCTCCGACTGGATTCCCTCCCACGGCTGCAGCCCTTCCCGAGCTGCTCCGGCGTGGGACTCCCCCGCATGCTGCAATCCTCCCAGCACTGAATTACAGCAGTGGGGCTGCCTTTTCCCATGAGACCCCGGCCTTCTTCGGGCACAGCACCTTGATTATTGCAAGCAGAAGCCACAGGCCACAAATCAGTCTGCTCCACTGTAGATCTCCATGGGTGGCAGGGGGGGGCTGCCCTGCCGTCTCCCCACAGGATACAGGGGGGTCTCTGCTCCGGCACACCTCCCCCCTCCTTTCTTC